CTGGGTATTAGATGAAATGAAAATTTACTGAAATAGTGGTAGCTGGGCACCACCTAGTTCTTCTGATCTCATAGTTGTATAGGTTGCAGATCGGATGATACACCTTTTTTTTTAAGTTACAACAAATGTCTTCTCAACTCTGACTTCTTAGTGTCCTTTTGTGATGGAGGCTAATGACAATTCTTGTCTTTGTACTTGGGTGGGGGTAATAAGATCCTTGTTCAATGATTCTTCAAAGTTGGGAATTAGTGAGTCAGTCAGCTGTGTGAAGCCCAGCCTATTATAAACACTCAGTAAATATTAAATGATGGTAATGGCAGGGCCATTTAGTCTGTCTAGGTCTCCTGCCTCCCATTTCAGTGCTTGTTTCACTGCATTAATAGTTCCTCAGGTGTGTCAGACCATAATCCTTTTTCATATCAAGCCCATTATTTTGCCCATGTTTATATTTCTGCCATGTGTTATGGCTGTCTTCAGAGGTTTTTTACTACCTGGGGAAAACTCTTCCAATTCTGTTTTCCCAGTGGGCCAACAAAAGAATATTAAAATTGCCCATTTTAAGCCTTTTTAGTATTTTCAGCTTTAGTTCTGTCCACCCAGTTCTCATCACAAAGCTATTTTTTTGGAATGTTTCTGGTATTTGTTATTTATATAATAGCAGCTCTCATTTAGTCATATACCTTTAAATCTGCCAGTGTCTTTTGGCTCTGAGAAACTTGCAGCAATGGCAGGAAGCCTCTAGGTTTCAGGCAGTCTTTGACATCCTTAGATTATAATGTAGATTGCCATGTTTTTGTGCTGTCAAGGAAGATTATGATGATATTTGAGGGCTGAAAGTAATCTTGAGAAAGCAGTTTACACCATTTCACAAACTATTAGGAAATTTGATTTAGGAGAAGCTTATTGACTAGTATAATTTTGTTAGGTGAACAGTTGATGTGGCACTAGAAATTTGCAGTAGACCAAAGGAACACCACTGTTTTAGGCTGGGTTCTCTAGAGAAGCTAAACCAGTAAAGCTTACTTGTGTGTGTATATGTATATATAGAGAAATTTATCTTAGGAAAATGGCTCATACAGTTAGAGAAGCTGGCAAGTCCCAGGTTCCTGGATCAAAAGTCAAGCTCAAAGCTTTTGCTGACTCAGGCAGCTGCAGGGGCTGACGAGCTCAAGGTTGGCAGACAGTATACTGGCAATTGACTTCGGCAGATGACAAATCCAACCTAAGATCACCAGGCAGAATAGTAGATTGTTCGTTCAAGGACAGTTATAGGCAGCGCAACAGCATTCAGATGCAGAGAAAGTTCTCTCATTTTCCCAGAATGTCTATATATATATATATGTGTGTGTATATATATATATATGTATATGTATATATGTATATATATATGTGTGTGTGTATATATATGTGTGTGTGTATGTGTGTGTGTGTATATATATATATATATGTATGTATATAGATGAGCTCCGGTAGCATAGTGCTTAAGGCACTTGACTGCTAACCAGAAGGCTGGTGGTTCAAATCCACCAGCCACTCCTTGGAAGGAAGGTTGGGCAATCTACTTCCATAGTGATACTGCCTCAGAAACCCAAGGAGGGGTCGCTATGAGTCGGGTCTGACTCGATAGCACATAACAACAACAACATATACACACACACACACACACACACACATTGGAAGCAGGCTACACCCCTAGGGAAACTCCCTTTCAACGAATTGGCTGCTCAAAGCATATACATCCGATCTCATCATGGGAACCACATCACAACTGCTTAAACCACTCAGAATCATGGTCCAGCCAAGTTGACACACACCCTCAACTATCACAACCACAAAGACAATTTCTTAGATGCAAAGGGGAGGATAACTATATAATGGGTGGTTCAGAATTTATCATCCAATCTCAGCATTACTTATGTTGGCTTAGGTATTTATAATGTGTTATTTGATTTGATGCAGGATGGGGTTCAGGGTACCATCTATGGTATATTTCAGCCAAAAATATTTAGCTTGAATCTATCAGGCATTTAGATCTTTTAGATTAGTTTATAGGACACACTGGCAATACAAAAACATACCATTGAGATAATGCTCCCATGAGGAAGCAGCTTGACAAGAGATGGACCTTACTGCATGATGCCACCCTGCTTTCTGTAGTAATCAATGGCATAAAAGAGATTGTGCTATAGAGAAGAGATGTTAGGGATAAACAATCAGATAAAATGCATGGCCCTGAATTGGATACTTGTTTGAACAAACCAGCTGCAAAGGAATTTTTTTGGGATCAGTTAGGGAAATTTGACAGTAGTCTGGGTATTAGATGAAATGAAAATTTACTGAAATGGAAAGGTGGAGAATATTAATTTTTTAAAAGCTGGCATATATATATATATATATATATATATATATATATATATATATATATATATATTTATTTATATATTTAAATGACTCTGGTTGTGCAGTGTCTAAGGCATTTGACTGCTAACCAGAAGGTTGGTGGTTCAAACCCACCAGCAGCTCTGCGGAAAGAAGATGGAGCAATCTACTTCTGTAAAGATTTACCACCTCGGAATCCTAATGGAGTTGGTTATGAGTCAGAATCGACTTGATGGCAGTGAGTTTTTGTTTGGTTTATGTATACAAACATACATACTCATACACACATGCATACATACATATATATACATATATAGAAAAAGATCTGGAAATTCATACACTAAGGTGTTAGTAGGGGTGCTCCCTAGGTGACAGGAAGATGAAGTATTATTTACTACAATAAGCATGTCTTATTTTTGTGTTAATAAAATCTTATTTAAAAAAAAAGTCCATACTAACTCATCCTATACAGATGGATTGTTTTAATGCATTTCACTAATTTTTTCTTGCTGAGAATTTCACAATCTTAATGTTGCTTTTTGAACCCAATCTTTATTTATTTAAATTTTGATTGTGATTTGGGTGAAAGTTTATGGAGAAAATTAGTTTTCCTTACAGAAATTCATACACATTTTGTTTCATGACATTGACTGCAATCCCCACCATGTAACAGCTCTCTGCCTCCTTCCTGCCTGTAGTTACCTCTTCCCCATGTCCTTCTTTCCTGTACATCCCTGCCCCCTGAACTATCTCCCTGTACAAATGCTGCCTTTCTGTTCTCCCATGATGGATCATTCTAAAGAGTGCATCTACACGAGATGGATGTTTACCATCTATTGCCTGTTGTTTGGCTGGAAGCCACAAGAGTAAGTTCACTTCCAGACTTGAAGGGTAACTAGGGGCCATAGTCCAGGGGGTCTCGCCAGACTCGATCAGACTAGTAAACCTAGTCTTTTTTATGATTTTGAGTTTTGTTCCACATTGTTCTCCCACCCTATCCAGTATCTCTTGCATTGATTCCTTTCTGAGAGGTTGACAGTGGTAGCTGGGCACCATCTTGTTTTTCTGATTTCATGGTCACAGAGGCTGAGGATTGCATGGTCTGCTAGTCCCTTGGACTAGTTATTTCCACGCATCTTTGGTTTTCTTCCTCCTCCTCTGCTGTGGACAAGGAGAGACCCATTGTTGCATCTAGATGGCTGCTTGCAAGCTTTTAAGACCCCAGTTGTTCCTCACCAAAGTAGGATGTACAGCAGTGTTTTTGTGTAGTATGTTATGCCAATTGAGTTTGATGTCCCCTGCAACCATGTGAAACCAGTCTTTAGATTCTGCATGCATCTATCTTTTTTTTTTTTTTTTTAAATTTAGCTTTTCATTATGGGAAATTTCAAACTTCCATGAAAGTGGAAAGGATTAATATAATGAACTTGCATGTACCCATCAGCATTTACCAGTTACACTCAATCTTGGGTCTCACTCTATCCACCATTCCTCTCTACCTGTTATTTTGAAGCAAGTCCTAGATGTCATATTTTTCATCCATAAATAGTTCAGTATTTATTTCTAAAAAAATAAGAAAGTAAACAACAACAAAAAAAATCACATGGTATCACACCAAACAGTAAGTAAATAAAAATAACAGTATTTTCTTAATACAATCGAATATACATTCATTGTTCACATTTTCCCAATTGTTTCATAAGTGGTTATTTTTTTCTAGTTCAGGTGTTTGAATTGGGGTATAGATAAATTCCCTATGTTATAATTGGTTATATTTCCCTTGGCAGTTTGAACCTACCCAGCAGCTCTGAAAACCACATGGGGCAGTTCAGCTTTGTCACATGGGGGTCACTTTGAGTAGAAATCAGTGGCAACATATTTACCTTAAACTCTTTTAATATGTTTCCCTTCCCCCTTGCAATTTATTTAAGAAATTGAGTTGAGCCTTTTGTCTTCTAGAATTGTTTACAATCTACATGTTTTCTGCAGGCTCTCTTAACCCTTTAGAGGCCAGGACTGGGAACTACTCTCTAGAATGATCTCTCTAAAGTTTATAAAACATACGGAGGGTGTCTCTGAATCTGTAAATTGAAAGGGAGAGTTTATTTTCTGTCCTAAAGTCCTGTGAGTTTAAGACTGTTTCAGCCTGGATTTCAACTAGATGAAGCAACTATCAAAATAGGATATATTAGGATGGATGTTAGAGATACCAGTTACAGAGATTTTTAGTTACTGGCCAGATTCTTTTTCAGTGCTAAATGAAAAGTTTACACTGAAAGAACACTCTATTGTAATCCATTTCTCTTGAAATTTTATTCAATATCTTCAGGCAGCTTGGTCTATAAGTTTGCTTTTTATTTTTATGATAACCTTTATGCTTTTCTTATTGTTACTTTGTTTTGTATTATTGCTAAGGCTCTAAGGTCAAGATTTCCACTTACTAATTTATCTCTAATGATTACAGGTTGAAGATGACAGTGATGCAGAGACCTATGGAGAAGAGAATGAAGAACAGGGAAATTACTCTAAAAGAAAAATTGTCTCTAACTGGGATCGATATCAAGATACAGAAAAAGAGGTTGATAATGAAAGTGGAGAATCCCAGAGGGGGACAGATTTCAGCGTCCTCCTTAGCTCTGCAGGTATGAGTTCCAGTTGCACGCATACTGCTTAGTGCTGTGAAAGTGGCATTTTTGTTGTTGTTAGGTGCCGTTGAGTTGGCACTGATTTGTAGTGACCCCATGTACAACAGACTGAAACACTGTCTGGTCTGTGGCATCCTCACAACCCTTGCTATGCTTGAGCTTATTGTCCTAGCCACCGTGTCAGTCCATCTCATTGATGGTCTTCCCCTTTTTCGCCGACGCTGACCTTCTACTTTAGTAAGCATGTTATTCTTCTCCAGGGAATGGTCCCTTCTGACAATATGACTAAAGTACATGAGAAGAAGTCTGGCCATTGTCGCTTCTAAGGAGCATTCTGGCTACACTTCTTCCAGGACAGGTTTGTTTGTTCTTCTGGCAGTCCATGGATATTTTCAGTATTCTTCACCAATACATTTCAAAGGCATCAACCCTTCTTCAGTCTCCCTTACTCATTGTCTAGCTTTTACATGCATATGAGGCATTTGAAAATACCATGGCTTGGATTAGGCACACTTTGATATTGAAAGTGGCATCTTTGCTTTAAAAGAGGTCTTTTGCAGCATATTTGCCCAGTGCAATACAAAGTGTGATTTCTTGACTGCTGTTTCTATGGGTGTTGATGTGAAAGTGGCATAGACATTTTATTTATGCTACTTTTAAATTGTATTTTTATAACGAGCAATCTATCCTTTGGTCTTTGGATTTTAAATCCAAGTAAAGAATGGTGTTTTTAATGGACTGAAAGGGAAAAATTAAGTTTTTAAGAGTAGAAATTAGGATTTGCATGTACTGGTGTAGAAATTACTGGAGGTTTAAGCTTGATAAAGGGCTTTATATATGTGAACAATGTTGAACCATGCCACTCTGAATTAGGTAATCTGAGAAACAGAAGTAGGTATTTTAAGAGAGGAATCAGTATACTTAGTCTGATACAAAGCTTTACAGGGTTTCTGGAATATATATATACTCCCCCGATTTTTTTTAATAGCTAGGAATATTAGTGGATATGCACGTTAGAGCTGTATGCACCTGTATATCAGAAGTTACCTTTTTTTGCTTTTGGGACTCAGCCTTCTCTCTCAATAAGGTGAAAAACTCATTCCATCCATGGCCAGCTGTTATCTAAGATTGACTCCACCTTGAGTGATGTGGACGTGAAGTAGAGCTGGGTGAAGCTAGAGAGTAGTAACAGGAAATAATGGAGTAGCACTGGGTAGTACTATAGTGTGACATGAGAGATTAAAGGATGGATGGAAGATAGAGTCATGGTTGCTGGGGGTGTGTGTGTGTGGGAGCAGGTGGATATGGTTATAAATGAGGGAGCCTTGTGCTGTTGGAACTATTCAATATCTTGGCTGTGGTGATAATACACAAACATAAACAAGTGGTAATATTGTGCAGAACTTAATATACACATACTGTACACATATGAGACAATTAAAACTGGGGAAATTTGAATAAATTTGACATTATCAATGTCATTATGTCAATATTTTGATTATGTTGTTTTACTATAGTTTTGTAAAGATAGTCATTTGGGAAACTGGGCAAAGTGTACAAGACATCTCTCTATTGTTTCTTGCAAATATATGTGAAGTTCAATAGAAAAATGATAGTATGGCCAGTCAAAAAAAAAAAAAAAAAATTAAAGGCTGAAAATTTGAGGAATAGAGAAGTAAAACCAAATTCATTTTAGTTTGTTTTGAAACCCCCTCCTCCCACTTTTATGCTGCTTTTGAATTTTACTTTTCTTCTGTCTCATTTTCCTATATCTTTGAATACTTGTACCATACTAAGAATCGTAAATTGATGAATTTTCTTCTACCTTAATTTAGTAAATCTTTTTGAGTAGGAAAACTAAAAACCAAACCCACTGCCAACGAATTGATGCCAACCCATGGTGACCCTGTAGGACAAAGTAGAACTTCCCCATAGGGTTTCCAAGGCTATAGGAGTTCTGGTGGCATAGTGCCTGAGGCATTTGACTGCTAACCAGAAGGCTGGTGGTTCAAACCCACCAGCCACTCCTTAGAAGGAAGATTGGGCAATCTACTTCCATAGAGATAACGGGTCGCTATGAGTCAGATCCGACTCGATGGCAGTGAGTTTGGTTTTGGTAAATCTCTAGGGAGACAGAGGCTGCCTCATCTTTTTCCTGCTGAATGGCTGGTGGGTTTGAATATTCTACCTTTTGGTTAGCAGCTGAATGCCTTAACCACTATGCCACTAATCTTAGATTGAGTCAACAGGTCAAGAGTCAATCTTATATCATTATAATGCACAATGCACACAGCATAATCCTTTTAAGTACAGGTTAGCTGATGGCATTCCATTCATTGATTGTTCCTAAACAGTTTTACCAGTCTACTATTTTTGTTTTGATACCTGCCTTTTGGCCAGTTATGGGCAGTAGCAGAAGTGGTAAAAATGTGATTGGGTTCTGGATCTATTTTAAGGGAAGAGCAGAGAGGTATGAGATAAAAAAAAAATATGTAAGTATGATGCCAAGTTTTTGGCTTGAACGCTAAAAGAAGTAAGTTACCATTAACTGAGCTGGGTAACACTATAAGAGGAGTTCAGTTTTGGACTTTTTAAAATCAAGATACCAGTTAGACATCTGTATCAATGAAGAGGCCTGTAGGAAACTTTAACAAAGGAACCATTTTGAAAAAGCATGAGTAGGATCATTAGGGATAGTGCAGTATAAGAAGGGCAGGTAACAGCAGAGTTATTACCATTGTTAATTATTGGAATACTGAAAGCTTCATGTAGAGAAGATTACTTTAAAAGAATAAATCATCTTTGGTCAAGGGACATGACCAGCAAAGATGACTCCAGAGGGAGAGTGACAGAAAGATAAATATTCTGGTCTTTGTTCTTTTCCCTCCAGTCTCCTACCAAGGCTTCCCATAAGGCTAGCCAACTGGAAGCCAGAAGCAAGGAAAACCTGTTGCTGTAACCATATAGACTAACCTCCTAGAGCAGAAAAGAGTGGAGAAAAGTAAATCTGGAGTGGCAAATGGAAGAGATCAGCACAACATCTAACAGGAAATGTAGAGCAGGCTGTTGTATAAAGGCACCTGGAGTTCAGGGGAGAGATCTGGGCTGGAGATCACCTTTGGGTGATGTCAGTCTATGTTGTTGTTATCAGTTGCTGTCTAGTTGCATCTAGAGATGATATTTAAAGTTATGAGACTGTATGAGATGACTAAGGAGCTCTAATTCAGTGGTTAAGGCATTTGGCATCTAACCAAAAGGTTGGTGGTTCGAACTCATCAGCTGCTCTGTGGGAGGAAGATGACACAAATTCACTCTCATAAGGATTTATGGCCTTGGAAATCCTTCGGGGGTTGTTAAGAGTCAGATTTGACTCAGTGGCAGTAGATTGGGGTAAGGGAGTGATAATAGAAAATGCTGTGTTTAAAAGTTATGAAGATGGGAAGAAACTGGCAAAGGAGACTAAGCATGAGAGGGAAAAACCAGGAGGGATTCATATCTTCATGTGTTTTAAGGAAGAAGATGTAATCTGTCCTGCCAAATACAACTAATGACAGCCAAAAATTGGCTGTTGAATTTAACAAATGAAGTTCTGAGTCACCTTGAAGAGCTATTTTGGAGTGGTGGGATAAATTCTTGGGCTTAAGAAAGAGTGGAAGGAGAGATATTTGAGACAGCAAGTATAAATAACTCTTAAAGACTTATGTTATACAAGGGAGGAGAATAATGGGCTGATGGGGGAAGTGGGTCAAGAAAATTTTAATAACCCTTTCAAGACTGAATTATTTTCTGCTTGAAATATTTTGTTGAAACCATGTGTTTTCAATAATGAAAATCATTTGGAATGAATTGAAAAATATTTTTTGAGGTAAAAAGGATTTTAGATAAAATTAATGGGGTATGTATATCCTGAGGGGTCTCTGGTGTTGGGGTTGTTGGGATGAGGCCCATTTCTTCAGATTCACACAGTTAAACGGGCCCTGATAAGACACAGCATATGCTAAAAGTGTGATGACACCTGCCTACTAAATCCCAGAGATGAAAAATGTAGGTGGGCACTATATATCCCACAGGTAATGAAAAAGTTAAGATGGGGGCAATAACTGACTATTTGATAGAGGGCAAAGATAACACAGGAAGGGGTGAAAATTACTGGCTCTGTGTTCTGTGATAGACATGTGATGTCTATCTATGTGATGGGATCTAATGTTCAGGTGGAGAAATTGCATATTGGTAGGAACTTGGACAGTTTATCAACTCTTATAGGAGAGCAAGCAGAATGTATGGGCATCTATGTAGGTAGAGACTCTGAAACTTGCCCTTGAACAGAGAGTAGCTAAAACAAATAGAAGAAATGACAAGATAAAAGAGCTGAACAGAAGATTTCAAAGAGCAGCTCGAAAAGACAAAGTCAGTTGTTACAATGAAATGTGCAGAGACCTGAAGTTAGAAAACCAATAGGGAAGAACACACTTGGCATTTCTCAAGCTGAAACAACTGAAGAAAATATTCAAGCCTTGAGTTGCAATATTGAAAGATTCTATGGGCAAAATATTGAATGAAACAGGAAACATCAAAAGAAGATGGAAGGAATACACGGAGTCACTGTACCAAAAAGAATTGGTTGATGTTCATCCATTTCAGGAGGTTGCATATGATCAAGAACCAATGGTGTTGAAGCTGCACTGAAGGAATTGGTGAAAAACAGGGCTCCAGGAATTGACAGAATACCCACTGAGAGGCTTCAACAAACTGATGGCTGCAGTGGAGGAGCTCACTTGTCTATGCCAAGAAATTTGAAAGACAGCTAACCGGCCAACTGACTGGAAGAGATCCATATTTTTCTACCCATTCCAAAGAAAGGTGATCCCACAGAATGTGGAAATTATTGAACACTATCATTAATATTGCATGCAAGTAAAATCTTGCTGAAGATAATTCAAAAATGGTTGCAGCAGTATATTGACAGAGAGCTTCCAGAAATGCAAGCTGGATTCAGA